AGAGAGAGAGAGAGAGAGAGAGCGCCGCGTTTCTCTTAAACTTCAAGACTATTGTACGCAGCTTTTGATGCATCTCGTATGCATAGCATGCCCGTTCACATAAAAGGATGCGACTCGAGTGTCCAACGATAACGTTTCCCCGAGTTTCCCGACATCAGATGCGGCCATTGTCTCGCTAGTTGCAGACGCTATAATCATTTAATATCGCAGTATAACAGGTGTCTCGTTGGTGCCGAGACGGACGTCGTAGCGTATATCTTGAAAACGTAAGCGCGCGCGCAGAGCGATTTTTATGCGTTGCGAAGAATGGAGCTGTTAGTAATTCATTCTTGTATCTTTTGTCGACTTCCACGTCCGGGGAGTTCATTGCTATAAAGCCGCGCTCCTTATACGAACGTATTGAAAATCGAGGCCATAGACCGGCGTCATCCAATATAAATTCAAATTTTTCATCACGCTTGCGGTTGCCACCTTTTTTATGCTCGGCACACAACAGCTAGTTCACGAGACTTTATTAAACGATAAAAGACTAAAAATATAGACGCGTATGACACGGCTGAACAATATATAATAATTTTTATCCAAAAGTAATCTAAAAAGTAATCAAAAATTATTATTATCTTCAATTTTCATTATTATTACCTAATTATTATCATTTATTAAAAAATAAAGATTATCGTGTGTATCTCTTCTTGCAGAGAAAATCTAATCCCATTTTCCAAGTTAATCAAAGAATCACTTTATGTATCACTTTGCAAGTTATATTTCTCCTCTAATTATATCAACTCTCACTAAGTTATAGCTTCTCACACCTTGTACAGAACAAATTGTCTTGCGCGCGTCAGTCTAAACGTTTTAACAACTCTCTTACACATGTCAGTTCCTTTTAATTATTGTTTTAATTTATAGTTATTGTAAATCTTTAAAATTTGCTAGTTTAATTACATGACTTCACTGCCAATATTTTACCAAATGCTGCAGATAAAGCGATTATTTCTCATGTTTTCTCATGTTTTTAATTCTCATGTTTTTGAACTGCAATGGCTTTTTACATCTTGATTGCGCTTTATTATTCTTTAACTTATAAATTTCAAGACAAACGCTGGATAATTTTTTGATTATATAATTCTTATGTAAATATATTTTTTTTCGGATAAACT